TATATATATAGAGATAATATATATATATATAGTATATATAAAGTATAAAATTATAAATTAAGATAGGAATAGTATATGAGGAATACCTGAGATACCAGGTCCCTCGTTGTGTTTTCAGAGGGCAGGTAACTACCAAGAATATTCTGTGCTAGACCATAAACTGCCTTGTTACCACCAGTATATGCTTAATAAAGACCCAGGCTTACTCACAAGGACATACTCTCAACTTATTTCATAGACTTACTCACCCAGACTTACTCACTCAACTTACTCACAGTCATATTACTCGCCAAACATACTCACTACCTCAGACTCCACCACCCAGACATACACACTTCATCAAACTTACTCACCCATACTTACTCCACCCAGGCATACCACTCAAACTTACTCAGACTACCACACTACCCTTGCAACCGCTGTTCAGAAAACAATTCTATATCTCACATCTAGGATTACATTTCACTGCAATGAACGAGGCGAAGGCTTGAAACACCTGATCGCGAGTAAGTGCGAAGTGTTCCCCCGTGCAAGTGCCTATAAAGTGGCCATCCGTCGGCAATTCCCCAGGAGTTTGCACCTCGTAATCCCTCAGTACCACTGCACAAAAATTTCTCCACCCAAAAAATAATATTTTTTTTTAAGTGTATTCAAATATGAGATATCAAAAGCAAAACACAACACACACACACATACACACACACACACACACCACATCACACACACACAAAATTTCACACACACACACACACACACACAGCACACACGACTCACACCACACACACACACACACACACACACACACCACAACCACACACACAACACACATATTATATATATATATATATATATATATATAGTAATATGAATTCCCTTTCAGGCTTCTCTGTCATTACTGCTTGTTAGTAGAGCCTTCTTCCCATTCTCTTCCCTCACCTCCCTTTGTGTGTGGTGTGTTGTGTTTCTGTTGCTCGCTGGGTACTCGTCCTTCTAAGAAGCTAACCTCTGACAGTGTTCATATATCCACTAAATTACTTCCTTAATCTACCGTTCAGCTCTCGCAAAACTTCTGTCATTCCTCGAGCTTCTCTACTTTCTTTTCGTCAGCCTCATAACCTGCTCCTTCAAATGTTCTCTTTTATGATGTTGCTGTATCAGCAACTTGGCTCTTAATGCCGTTCAGACCTAACTTCTCTTTCCCTGTGTATTTCATTTCTCATCTATTGGTTTTTAAGAGACACATGGAGCAAACACGTTTCGACACAGGACCGAAACTTTTCTAATAATGTCCGAGTGTTTGCTCACCTATCTTTCTTAAAAAACCGATTTGTCCGTATTTATCAGTTGATACATTTTCTCTCTATCATTATTTTCTGTTTCCCCCAATCTCTCTTTTTTAGTTTCTCCATTTCTTCCACCAGCTTGCACTTTCAGCATCTATCTACGATACATCTCTTGGTGAATCCTGGGCTTCCTCTCCTTCTCCCCTCTACAGCTCGTGTTTCCCCTCTCCCTCCCGGCACATCCAACCCACATCCCCTCATTTGCTTCACTGGTGGCCGTTCTACATACAGCTGCCACCCACGGACTCTCTGCTTAGCGGATTGCGTCTTGTCTGCGTAGTCACTGCTTACTGAAGCCAAAGTTTGACCCCTTCCTTCACTCTGAGTTGTTTCTTCGGACAGCAACTTCGACAAAGATAATGAAACCTCACTTGTCTGTGTTGTGTATATACACATCACACACACACAGCACACACACACACACACACATATATATATATATATATATATAAATATATATATATATATATATATATATAATATATATATATGATTATATATATAATATATAATTATATTTATAAATACACATATATATATATATATATATATATATATATATATATATATATATATATATATTATATATATATAAATATATATATAAATATATATATATATATTATATAAATAGAAGCGTTGCCAGAACAAGAATATTTCAGATGTGTATATTAAGTAGATCAGCCAAGCAGTGTTGCCGAGTCTTGCTTATTTTTTCCTCTATTTGTGTTAAGGAGATGGAAATTTTTGGATAGAAATAATTAAAAAAAGTAGTCCCAGCCCCTTCATTAAAAATTAATAAGTATAATAGATGATTTTACATTTCTGTATGCCAGAAAATGTTGGATAGTAGGAAAGTATATTAAGTAAGAGAGTACTCACTCTCATATCTCTCTCTCTCTGTCTCTCTCTCTCTCTCTTCTCTCTCTCCATCTCTTCTCGACTTCCTCATCTTCGATTCCTCTCTCCTCTGCCTCTCTCTCTCTGTCTCGATCCATCTCTCTCTCTCTCTCTCTGGCTGGAGGCTACTTACAACGTCTTTTATAACAACTAACACTTCCCTCATTGTTACGGGCTTGAAACTCAGAGTCCTTCTAACAAGCTAAACGTAGTATCTCTGATCTCTCCCTGTCTCTCAGCTGGAGATCTACCTGGGTTTCTGTGTCCAGCTCGCTCAGCCTCTGGCTGACGGTAGCCTTCACAGGGAGCGGTTTCATCGCGTCCCATACCCGCTCCAGCGCCCACCGTCAGCACGGGGTCCCACCGGCCAAGACCGTCATCGTTCTGCTCTCTACATTCAGCGTCACTGTTCACTCTAGGGCGTTTTCGTGACGGGCCGGCGTCCAGTCGTTCACCAGGACAGGTAGAAATAACCCACAGTGTGGTTGGGGGCTTTATGATCCAGTAATAGGATGCAGGTTTTTGGATCCGAGGACTCTGAGCCAAAATGCTGTACTGGGAACTTAACCTGTATATGTATGTATGAAGGAAAGTATGTATGTATGTATGTATGTATTATGTAGTGTATGTATGTATGTGTATGTATTTATGTATGTATGTAATATAGTGATTTAGAAAACCGACAAGTTGAAGAATGAGAACTTATGCAACATATGGGAATCTTTGATTAAAGAAACGTTTCGCCACACAGTGATACATCAGTCCAATGCAAAGCAGGAAGTGTAAGGAGAGGAGGAGTTGAAGTAATCAGTCGCATCAACATGAAGCAAACATCGACCCAGTTGATGGACTGATTACCTCAACTCCCTACTCTCCATATTCTTCCTGCTTTGTATTGGACTGATGAGAGGGTCCACTGGTGGCGAAACGTTTCTTCAATAAAGATTCCCTATGATTGCATAAGTGTCTCATTCTTCTTGTATGCAATGTATATATATATATATATAATATAAATATTATATATATATAAATAAATATAATATATATAGTATATAATATATAAATATATGTGTGTGTGAGTGTGTGTGTGTGTTTTGTGTGTGTGTGTGTGTTGTGTGTGTTGTGTGTGTGTGTGTGTGTGTGTGGTTTTCTTCTTTCCGAAGAGAAAACACATTCACTATCATATCAGTCAATCGCACTGTCCAGGCAGGAGCACGCTGACATTACAGTCCAGACAAGCCTCGGAACTGCAACTTCTTCATCCATTCATCAAATTTTCAGGCACTGTACTTTCCTACCTACATACAACAGGATTCAAGTCCGGTTAACCTGCTTCCTTCAGGCCATTGCACAACTGATATTATACCGACCTCCCAACAGCAACGCCAAGCCACGAAAACCATAGCCTCAACTCACTCCACCTTAATTCGCTCATATTAGATGTCCAAGACTTCACCCCCCCCCCCTCTTCGACCAAAATTTATTTTTTATTTTTCCATAGCAGTCCCCAATACCCCTTACCTTTCCCCACCCCCAGATTAATCCACCCCGTCTTATACCTCCTAGTCTTCTCATCCGTCTCTAATTTTTCCCACAACTCCTCCCTCATCAGCTTCCTGAATTAAACGTTTTGGTCCTCACCGAACACTTTCTGTAATCTCCAAGCTTTAATTCTCTGCATAACAGGGCCCACTACACATTGCTCCCAAGCACACAACTCTACCGTTTTCCCAGCCATTAAACATTGTCCCAAAATATATGTCTCAAGTTCGGACGATCTCCGTTGTGTTTAGCCATCTTGTGGACAAATAGAATACTCATACTGTGCGTGGTGTACCATGCTGCTCTCGACTGTGTACCTGTGCTGCCTCTCGCTGTTAACCTGGTGCTGCCTCCTCGCTGTGTACCTTTGCTGCCTCTCGCTGTGTACCTGTGCTGCTCTTCGGCTGTGTACCTGTGCTGCTCTCGCTGATGTACCTGTGCTGCTCTCGCTGTTTACCATGTGCTGCCCTCTCGCTGTGTACCTGTGCTGCATCTCGCTGTGTACGCTGTGCTGCCCTCGCTGTGTAACCTGTGCTGCCTCTCGTCTGTGTACATGTGCTGCATCTCGCTGTGTACCTGGTGCTTGCCTCTTCGCTGTGTACCTGTGCTGCATCTCGGCTGTGACCTGTGCTGCCGCCTCGCTGTGGTACCAGTGCAGCCTCTCGCTGTGTACCTGTGACTGCCTCTCGCTGTGTACCGGCTGCTGCTCTCGCTGTGTACTCAGTGATGCCTCTCGCTGTGTACATGTGTCTGTCTCTGAGTACATTTGGCTCTCTCTGTTGTGCATGTGTCTTGTGTACATGTACCTCTCAGGAATTTCCACTCATAGCCACGTTCTCTGAACAGAAATATAATAGTTTTAAAGCTGCGTTGAGCCTCCGCCTACCTCTTTTTTTTACGGCTGCTGCTCTGCTGCTGCAGCTGCTTGCTGCTGCTGCTGCGCTGATGCTCTGCTGTTGCTGTTCTGCTGCAGCTGCTTCTGCTCCTGCTGCTGCGCTGGAGCTGCGTGCTTGCTGCCAGCTCTGGCACACTTGGGACGGTGCTGTTGAGCTGTTCGTATTTTGACCGGAACACAAGCGTGCTTAGAGTGAATTGTACGTGCTCCAAGCTCGCGCATGCAGCAGCAGCAGCAAGCAGTAGCAGCTGTGTGTAAAAAAACTAGAATGTTTTTGTCTATTGTTGTTGTTGCTCTTCAACTTTTGTATTCCTTTGTAGTCAGAATACAATAACACATCAGCATGTGTCCCTGCTTTTGTAGGAGCAAATCTCAGAGCAGCAGATGCTGTTCCTGCATCTGCTGAAG